CGACCAGACGTCCGGTCGAACGTCCCGGACGGTCAGGGGGGTCCTGAACATCCGATAAAACAACCTAGGTTTAACTATAAATATATTAAAGAAAAGTTTTGCAGAAAGATTTTTATGTCAATAATAAAATTAACCAGTGCTTTCAAAACGACAAAACACAATAGTGCACAATTTGAAAAAGTGTTTGAATATCGAACCCCAAAAGCAGTGGTTTGACAATAAGAACCTAAAAACAATGTTGAATCCTATATCAAGGTTTCTAAGACCTTAATTTTCATTATATAAACTTTAAGATGATTTTCATGTTGATTTTTTTGATAAAAAATACTGCAACATTGATATTACGAGTCTGACAAGTTACTAATTACTTTATCCCATGCTCGTAGTATTAGTATGAAACCTTTGCCCTTTTTTCTTTGCACAAAAAAAATATCACAGGTCCGAGTTTGAACCATGATTCAAAAAATAGTTAAGTACATACCATATAAGACGATTTTACGAATCAATGTCAAAATACAAAATTTGGAGGGGTGGGGACAATTTGCACATTTGGGATTGAAACCTTGCCTTTGAATAATATAATTATAGTAGGGGATTTACATATAAAAAAAATAAAGAGTTATTACATTTAAAGTTTCTCTTATTTCCAGTTAACGATCACTACTATCTGAGTTTTACAAGAATTGTAAAAGATTAAGACCAATAACTATTCGTTTTGAATGCTTACACTGTAAAAACGATAGTTATTAAAAAAATATCGTGAGAATATGAGTGAAGTTTAGGTCAGGGGAGGAGGGTGCATAATTTAGAGCATGAGTACCTTAAAACCTCAGTTACAATTTCAAATGTTAAAATTAAAAAAATAAAATAAGAAATGTAAATTAGGTTCCGTGATATTAAAAAAAATATATAACTTTGGATTTAAGAAAAAAATGTTTAACTTAAAGTTTGAGATTTCTGCTTTTTTAATATATAGTTATGATTTATATATAAAAGAAAGGATGTAGATTAAGTTTTGATGTATTATAGGAAAGAAAAACAAAATATTTTCACTTATAAAAAAAATATTAGTGTTAAACCAAATGTATATTTTGATCCACGCTGCTATCATTCGGTCTCTGTTTTTTTTTTCTTCAAACTAACATGTTTATAACATGTCATATGATGCAATGGTTTTACAAGGTATTTAACATTTTTTACTTCTTTGACTGAAAAATGTAAATGCATTGCAACCTTAGTGTAGCGGACCCACCAGGTGTGGTGCTCCGCTAGTGATAGAGATGGAGATGGAGGAAGAAGGGGGGAGCAAGATGCACAACGCAGCTCCCACGCAAGACTCCAATGCACGTACTCCAAAATTGTGCAAGTGTAGAATGAGGAAGAAAACAGACAGGGACTGACGAGACTAAAATGGACTGGCTGGTACCGACAGAGGTATCGACCTGGACTGGACTGGACTGCCCCCGAATAGAACACAGGCCTGTGAGAATAGGCCAAGAGGCTGGTCTCACAGGCCAACCAGAGGTCCGCTACACGATCCTCTGCCTGTGATGGATCGCCTAGGTGCAAACATGCTTCCTCCAAGAAGCGGAACTCTACCAAAGAAAAAGAAAACCTGAGTAGTCTAGGATGCGGAGCAAGCTCCATGTTGAGTCCATGCGATGCAACCTAGGATATAAAATATTACACAACAGCAATGTCACAGCTAACAGCCTAAGTGAAAGCAGAAGCAACTAACTAGTATACATGTCTTAAAAAACCAGAAGTAACTAACTAGCATACATGTCATAGGAAAGCAGAAACTAGTGACAAGTAGATCCTAGAATGTTGGAGGCAGTATCCTCAGTCTGGGAACAACTGACAAGCGTATAAGTCCTAAGAATAACAAAAGCAGCACAACTAATCCTAGAAATGTCAGAGGCAGTACCCTCAGTCTGAGAGCAACAAAGCAACAACAAGTCAACCATATGTTACAGGAGAAGTGTGTCGCAAACCAAAGGGTGGGATGGTCTTTTAGGGTGGCGAATGCAGCCTAGGGGTCGAAAACTCCTAAGGGCATCCACATATAGATAACAGGGAGACACATGTCATCAGGCTCAATGAGGGTAGGGAACTGGGAGCGAACAGAACCAATGACCCTAACAGATAGACCATCAGGGCGGGTAATGCTCGACTAAAGGGTGACCGCTATGGAGGGTCGACCATGCAAGGGAACAAGGGAGCCTTGTATACTGGGCGCACCTAGATAAAGCATGTGGGGCTGCCTAACTAGGGGGTGAGGGCCAGCATAGGGTAAAAAGGTGATGGGTAAGAGAATCATGCAAATGACTCATAAAGTGAGGGAAGTCGGAGCTAGATCCGTAAGATGGGAAACCAGGGCAACGCTACGGTCCCGATGCCTATGCATATGCCAAGGGAGAGCCCAACTCAGAGGAACCCGGCTAAAGGGAGACCATCATGCGACACAACAAGGGTACTGTACAGGGTCAAGTAGTAAGAGAGTGATGACGTCTGAAGTAGGCAGAGCTGATCGTGACAAAGTCCATGAAGGTGCCGATGACGTCCACGATGAGAAGTCCGGAATGTCGTCGAGGAAGAGCTACAACGTCGACGAGCTGAAGTAGCAAAACTGGAGTGGATGGAGTACTGAGAAGTCAAAGACGTGGGAAGGTAAGTCAGAGTCAGTCGTCGTATCGAGCAGGACGACGACGAGTGCGCTGTGGACGCTCGGAAGCATCCGACTCCTGCTGAAGGTCTGCCTCAGATGGAGCAAGTTCGACTTCAGCGGTCTCCTCAGCCGGGGGAGAAGGAGGAGGGTTAGTGGGCTGAGGAGGAGCAGTGAGCCCAGCACGACGAGCACGGTCATAGGCACGCACCAACATGCGAGCGTGCTGCAAGTGTTCGAGGGGCTCCCAGGTAGCCTCCTCATCAGGGTAACCCTTCCAACGTACGAGATACTCGATATGGGGAGGGTTGTCGTTGGAGACTCGGCGACCAATGATGTCTGAAACGAGGAACTCCTCGTGGCCGTCCACCATGATGGGTGGGGGGCGCTCGTATGGTCGTCCAACGAAACGCTCAGACGGTCTGCGGTAAGGACGCAGTAACGAGACGTGGTAGACATCGTGCACACGAGCTTGGCGTAGGTAGTCGGGCAGCTTCACACCGAAGCTGACCGGGCCAGATGCCGTATCAGAACCGACGGCCTGGAGGATGCGGCATGGGCCAAAGAAGCGACGCCGAAACTTGCGAAGCGTGTCCGCTTCGAGCTGTAAGTGGCGGGCGTCGATAAACACATCATTACCGACTTTGAATGGATGATCCATCCTCGATCGGTTCGCACGTGCTGCCATGCGAGTCTGGGAAGCGGCTATGTGCTCATGTGCGGTCTTCATGATCGACGTCATGTGTGCAACCCAATCATCCAGCGCGGGACAACTCGTGTCGGGGTGCATCTGTGACGGTCGGAGGAAGTCCGCGGGAACACGAGGGTGATAGCCGAGGTCGCAATAGTAAGGCGACATCCCCGTGGCTGGCGAGACGACGTGGTTGTAGGCTATCTCTGCGTATGCAAGATGGAGATCCCACTGCTGGTCGTCACGAACAATCTTTCAGAGAATATCTCCGAGAGTCCTGTTCGTGATCTCGGTCTGACCATCAGTCTGAGGATGGTAAGACGAGGAGAAGCGGAGCTGGGTGCCGTAAACCTCGTGGACCCGTCGCCATAATCGGCTGGTAAAGCGTGGGTCACGGTCAGATATGATGCTCAGAGATAAGCCGTGGTCACGCACGACTCGGTCAAACACGATGTTGGCGACCTCACGCGCACTGATGGCATAGCAGCACGGGACAAAGCGTGCACGCTTCGTGAAGTGGTCGACGACGACCAGGATAGCATCATGACCGCGGGGGGTCGGAGGACGAAGTGGACCGATAAAGTCCATTGAGATGGACTGCCAACGACCCTCAGGGATAGGAAAAGGCTGGAGCAAACCATAAGGAAGGTGGTTCGCACTGTTCACCTCCTGACAGGTGGGACACTCTGCGACGTAGTCCTTCACAAAGTCATTGCGCTTCGGCCAGACATACAAGCGACTCACATGAGCCAACATCTTGTGGAAGCCATGACTGGCGGCTGCCTGGTCATGGAACTCTGCTACTGCTCGGACACGTAGCTGTCCAGTGGAGGGAACCCAAATACGGGGCTCTCTGGTGCCCTGTGAACCATGCCAGTACACAAGACCGTTGTCCCTGAGAGAGTAGTTCGGGACGGTCTTGCCACTCCGAAGGGTCGCGTGGATGTCGCGATAGTCAGGGCAGTGGCGGTACTGAGTGCGAAACTCGTCGATCACCGAGTGGTGGACGGTGGTGACCCGAGATGGAAGAGAGTTGGATCTGCTCCTGGTCATGGTCAGGGCGCCGAGATAAGGCATCTGCGACCCAATTAATCTCACCCTTGATGTGCTCAGTGGTGAAACTAAACTCGGATAGGTCGCGCCACCAGCGAGCCTGTCGAGGAGTGAGCTTCGGCTTTGTCAGAAAAGCCTGGACAACAGAGTTGTCCGTACGCACCGTGAACGGTGCCCCGTGCAGGTAGTGACCCCAGTGCCGAGCGGCATAAACTACTGCGAGAACCTCACGTTCATTAGCAGTGTAGTTTCTCTCGGCGGGCGGGAGCTGACGAGAGTAGAAGGCTATCGGATAATCACCTGAGCGGGACTCGACAGTACCGTCCTCGGCGATGGTAGGAGAATAGTCAATAGAAGGCTAGTCAATAGCTGGACGAGTAGGCGTCAGTAGGGAAACAGTGGTAAGGGTAGGTGGTGGGAAGCGAGGGATACGAGGATGAGAGGAATCGGGAGAGGAGGGGAAGACCTCAGAAAGAACTGCTCCTACAGCAAAGTCTGACACGTCAGTGGTAAGGATAAAAGGGCGATCAAAATCGAGCAGATGAAAAACCGATGCGTATGTCACCGCCTTCTTGAGGGTGCGGAAGGCGTCCTCGTGGAGGGGTGTCAAAGTCCACGGTAGGTTCTTCCGGAGGAGGGTGGAGGTAAGGACGTAGGAATACCTAGCGTATCCCTGGATGAAATTACTATAGTAGCTGGTCAGGCCTAGGAAGCTGCGAAGCTGCTTGGCGGATGTGGAAGCGGGGCACTCCGCAATAGAAGTGATCTTCACGTCGTCCATGTGGAGACCTTGGTCAGACACGTAGTGTCCTAAAAATTTCACTTTGTGCTGGGCAAAGCGGCACTTGCTCAGCTTGGCATTGAAGCCATGTCTGTGCAAGCGGTCAAGGACGTCGCGGAGGTGTCTGAGGTGCTCCTCAAGGGCACAACTGTAGACCAGGATATCGTCGAGGTAGACGAGAATGTATTGCTCCAGGATGTCCCTGAAGATGTTGTTCACCGCCCTCTTAAAGGTAGCGGGTGCGTTGGTGAGGCCGAATGGCATCACTGTAAACTTGTAGTTGCCGAAGCGCGATCGGAACGCGGGCTTCGACTGGTCGGCTGCAGCGACGCGGATCTGATGGTAACCGCTACGAAGATCAATCTTCGTAAAGAAGCGATTGCCTGCTAGGCGGTCGAACAGCTCATCGGAACGAGGCATGGGGTAGTTGTTCTTAACCGTGTATCGGTTGAGACCGAGGTAGTCGATGCAGAGACGAAGAGTTCCATCCGCTTTGCAAGCAAAGAGGACGGGTGCACCCCACGGGGAGTTGCTGGGTTTAATGAAACCCAGTCTCATGAGCTCCTCAAGCTGACGCTTGAGTTCGGTGGCCTCGGGGATCGAGAGTCTGTAGGGTGCCTGGTGGTGAACACGATAGTCAGGCACAAGCTGGATGGAGTGCTCGACGTCACGCATTGGTGGGATGCCGGCATACGAGAACGACGATGGGAAAACGTCGTGGTAATCTCGGATGAGGTCACGAACTGCGGGTTCCAGGTCAGCCGTATATCGTGCGAGTTCCTCAGCGTCAGCGTCAGTGCGAGGCGGCGGGTTGGACTCGACGGATGACGGAGGGACGGAAGTAGAGATGGGAGCCCGGAACATAGAAGGAGGATCTGGCTCCAGAAGGATGAGCTCGGCGTCGAGACAGGGTGGATCATAGTGTAAGAGATTCGTCACGTTCACCATAAAGAAGGTGACGTCGTCCTTACGGATGAAGTGGGCGAACTGCCGAGGCGAGGTGAGAGTGATAGAAGTAGGTGGTGTGGGCACGGAAGGCTCCGGGGGAGGAGGATCGGGGGGTGGTATCGCGGTGGTACCTATGAAAGGTACGCGATACGTCTGTCCACACTTCGTTTTGAGAACGAGAGTATTGGTCGCCTAATCGGCCTCGGTGTTGCGAAACCGACGAGACCACGGAGTGCCAAGAATGAAGTCATACCCCGTCTCCATCACATCGAAATGTGCAGAGGAGCGGTGGCGACGAGACGTCGGGGAACGATCAGTTGGCTCGAGAGTGAGGAAGAAAGGGAGGTCGGTGACCGTCTGATCGAAGAAGCGCCGGGTCTTGTCATCCCCTAGGGTAGCGGAGATGGGAGTCGGAGACCCCGTCATGGGTAAGCAGGCTTCTTTCACCACGTGTGGGTGAATGAAGTCGCCCTGAGAACCGGAATCCCACAACGCTGAGTACACCCTCGTGGAGGTCCCGAGTCGTACTGGGATGATTGGGAGGGTGCGATCAGGGCCAGAGAGGATGGCGAGAAGGCGACGCAGTGCAGCGACATGGAGGGTGAGTCGCTCCTGACGAGCCTGGAGCATGCTCAAGTCCACAAGAGAGGACACAACGTCCTTGCGAGTAGCGAGTTGCTCGCTGCAACGGGCTGAGCGAATGGCTCGAGCGTCAGTAGTCGAGGCGAGGAAGGAGGGGAGATGGTGGTCTGCGGAGGCGCAGACGGTACTGCGGCAAAGGGCTGAGTACACTTTGTCGAAACATGCGATACCTCAGCTCCAGTAGTGAGAGGGGCGAACCGCGACGGAGATGTAGGGAAGCCCACTACTGAGGAGGGCGCAGGTGTACACTGCACCTTGGCTAGGAGGCGCCGCGGGGAGATGAGGCGCCGAGGGGGGACTGAGCACGACGCTGGCGGGAAAGGTTATCGGTGTGGCGGTCAAGGGCAGTGGTGTAAGGGCACCGCGAGGAGGTATGACCGTCCTGACGGCATCGCAAACGGCCACGCCGGCCCAAAATAGCCGCGCGCTCCTTAGCGGAAAGGACACCGCGAGGAGGGACAAAGCCCTGGGGGAGGTCCTGCAGAGGGACCTCGGGGGGCGACGCGCCAGCATGACCAGGGCGGCTGCGTGCCTGGGAAAGGGTGGAGAGGATGAGCTGGAGGCGCTCAGCCATAGGAAGAGTAGGGTCCTCCAGGTGGTGGTGGCAGCCTCGCCGAGGTCGAGGTCGTCGCTATGGTCACCCTCTGGCGACAGCGGGGCACCAACGTCCTGCTCACCATACTCGAGTGCGCTGAAGAGGCGCGATAAGTGGCGATCCTGCTGCGCAGAACGGCGGGGGCGACCGCAGAAAGGGGAACGACGCTGGGAAGTGTCGTGAGAGGAGGAGGGGGCGTAACCAGTGCGTTGCGGCTGGCAGGAGGAGGCGGGGTGAAGACGGGCCCGCATCCGCTGATGGTCCCTGGCGGCCTCGTAAGCCTGCGGGGCCGATGTGAACTCGTACAGCCATAGCTCGGAGCGGTACTCGAGCGGAAGGCTGGCCAAGAAACGATCGATAAGGGTCGCCTCGGGGAGGAACGCCATGTCACATATGAGGCGGGCGTTCTGAAAGACCTGGATGTGGCGATCCAGGCCGGCAGCGCCACCAGAGCTGGACCAGCGTGTAGTGATGACACGCTCGAAGGCGTCAGTCACGTCATATCAGGCTCCGAAGCGATCCTCGAGGAACGTCTGAAAAGCCATGAAGGTCGGAGTCCGACCCGCACGAACGGAGTAAGCGTAGAAATCCTTCCAGGCGTCGGAAGGACCGCCACGCACGCACGTGGAAAGGTGAGTCACCCACGTGTCGGGTGCGGCACCCATGAGTTGGAGCGTGTGGGTGGCAGACTGTAGCCACCGAGACACGCGAATGCCTGTACCGTCATACAAGGCAATGTCCGTCAAGCGGACGAGTGGTGCGCCACCGTTTTGGCGGCGAGGAGAACGGGAAGCAGGGGACTGCGCTACGGCTGAATAAGTCGGCGCAGGTCCTGGAGGAGGGGGCGCAACTGACAGTACGCCCGGGCCGCATGGTGGAGAGGCGGGGGAAATAGCGGCAGGCTGCACGGGAGCTGTGGTAGAAGAGGTCGCAGCAACCGAGGGGATGGGTAGGAGGTAGGATGGGGATGGGTAGGATGCAGGGCGAGGGAATCGAGCCTGCATGGAAGGAAGAGTAGAGGAAGAATGGGGTGCGCCGGAAGGCGCGGCCACCTGTGAGGGTGGGGGAGGCTGAAGGCGTGAGAGGGCGAGGTCGGCCCGGAGCTGGGCAATCTCGTCCTCGAGACCTCGAACGTAGGTCGTGCGAGGGGTAGCAGGAGGAAGAGTGCGGGAAGTGGAGGCACGAGCGGCGAGGGGCATCCCAGAGGGGGGAGAGCTAGGTGGCGCTGCGGTCGTGCGAAGGGGAGGGAGAAGCGGGGAACCCGGAAAAGTTGAGACTATGGTAGCGGGTTGTTGTACCGTGGCCGTAGTGACCGGGATCTGGGCAAGTGCGCCCGTAGACTGAGGGAGGGCCTGACTCATGGCGGCCGTGGTGCTAGGGGCGTAGACAGTCACCAAGATGACCGGGTCGGGGGCGGCGGAGGAGGAAGCTCCACCGTGGCCACCCTGTCGGAGGACGGGGGACCCGGACTGGGAGCCAGGATATGAAGGTCAGGCAACGTCCTGAAGTTGCTGCATGCCGGCGGCAAGGGTCGCCACCTGCGCCTGTAAGGGCGCTAGGATCGCGAGTTGCGCCTGAATGGGTGCGAGGAGGGAGGTGATAAGGGTGTGCAGATCCCCCTGGGGCTGGTGGCCCTGGTCCGTTAGCACGGGTGTGGAGCCCTGTGCCGTGGTCTTCGCCGCGTCGACGGCGTGCGACACACCGTCGGCCATGGGGAGGTGGCGGGTCAGACTGGAGGGGGCCAGGAGAGGTCCGCGTGAGCGGAGGGCATAGGGGGGCGTCCGCGGTAGAAGGCGGCGGACGACGCTAGCAAGGCTGGCGCGGGCGCCGTCAAAGGGGGAGGGGTGGTTCGAGTCCAGGGTCCCTGAATAGGAAGGGGAGTAGGGGGGGGGTTGAAAAAACTTAAACCCTAGAAAAACCTTAAAAAAAAACTAACCGGAGTTTGAGTGGTCAGGGTACGGTGCCGGTAACCTAATCAAGAAAATAAAATAGCAAGCATAAGGGGGGGGGAAGGTGGGTAAAAAATAAATAAACAGCGAGATTTCGAGAGAAAATAAAAATAAATAAGGAAAAAATAAATAATAAAAATAATTAAAGAAACAAGTAAAAAGATGTGAAGAGAAGTAACAATATTTATTTTTTTGAAATTTTCGGCAGCATTTCCTTACCCCCCATGGGGTCAAGAATGTGCCAAGGGGAAAGGAGAAACCAAGGTGAGCACACTAGGTTTCAAGATACCGCAAATAAAAAAAGAAAATTTAAAAAATAAATAAATAATAAATAAATAAATAAATAAGTGGATGAGGAGGGGGAGAGAAATGAAGTATCTGACTTTTCAAAAATTTTGGCAGCATTTCGTTACCCCCATGGGGTCGAAGTGTGCCGAAAGAGACTAAGTAAGAAAAAAACAGAAAATTTCGGCAACACTTCGTTACCCCCACGGGGTCAAAACGTGTGCCGAAAGCAAGAAAGACTAACACCTAATCAGATTTAGGAATGCCGTAAAGAAAATAGAATTTTCAGAATAAATAGAAAAATAAATAAAATAAATCAAAAAATGAGAAAAGAAGGTGGGGAAGAAGATAATTCGAATTTTTGGAGAAACAGAGAAAAGATAAATCAAAAGAGAGATAGAAAGAAGAAAAACAAAAAAAAATCGAAGTAGGGGGGAAGGGGAATGAAAAAAGTGAAGGAGAAAAGGAAAAAATATGTGAGGGAGAGAAAAAGATGGAAGTGGAACGTGGGGGAATGATGTGGTGGTAGTTGGGGGAGAGGAGGGTTGGGGAAAGGTGGAGAGGGATCAAGAAGCAAGGAAAAAAGGAGGAAAGAAAAGAAAAGAAATAAAGAAAGGAGAGTAAAAGCATGGGTGGTGGGAGAAAGGTGGGGTGGGGAAGGTAAAAGGAGGAGAGAAAAAATGCAGTAGAAGGTGGGGGAAAGAGAAGGGGTGAGTAAAGGGAGAGAGGAGAGGTAGGGAGAGTGGGTTAGTAGAGGGAGGGGAGAGAGAGAAGAGGTATCTGGCCCTTGGTGTCTCCAAGGGCACAAGGTACACCAAGACCAGTAGAGTCTTGGCCTTCACTGCAACAAGCCAGCTGGAGGAGAGAGAGGGGCTGCCATCTTGATCAGCCCCTAGGAGCAGCAGTTCTGCAGATCTGCGGATCTAGGGTCTGCTGTGTGAGCAGACCCTCACCACTGTAGAGCAGCCCCTGGAACAGGGGGTCTTCAAACCCATAGTAAGCTGCCATGTGGCACTGCAGGTGGCCACGTGCACAGACAGCAACAGCCACGTGCACAGGCAGCAACAGCCTCGCTGTTGCTGCCCTGCTGCTCGCTCACGGGGGGGTAAATAGCCAGCACGGGACCTTTTCAACACGAGTGTGTCGTGCTACAAAGCCATCGACATACTGTGGCGAGTGTGTTATGGCAGTGGTATACGCACGCGCAAGCCTAGCAGCTGCTTGGGTTTAAACCCCAGCAGCAGCAGCTGCATCCCGGATCTTGAAAATAGATAAATCCGGGAGCGGGGTGGGGCCGGTCAGCGGGGTAGTGTGGGCACGTGGCGCGTGCGTGTGCGGTGGCCGGCCTTAGCCTTGGCGCATGCGTCGTGATGCTGTTCTCTTTTTGGCCATGTGTCGACCTGCTGCTTCGCAGTTTTTTCCCTCCTTTTTCCCGGAAAACAGCCAAAAAAACAGCGAAAAATCACCTTGTTGGGATTTGCCGTTTTCTCGTATGTGCTGTGTGGTGGGTGGATGCGGGGACCGTTCCCGCTCCGATACCAATGTAGTGGACCCACCAGGTGTGGTGCTCCGCTAGTGATAGAGATGGAGATGGAGGAAGAATGGGGGAGCAAGATGCACAGCGCAGCTCCCACGCAAGACTCCAACGCACGTACTCCAAAATCGTGCAAGTGTAGAATAAGGACAAAAACAGACAACTGCTGGGGTATACCCCAGCAGACTG